TATATATATATATATATATATATAGAGATATATATATATATATATATAGATATATATATATATATATATATATATATATATATATATATATATATATATATATATATATATATATATATACATCAATGTCGCATATCAATTTAACTTTCCAAAACTCCAAAAAAGAAATTTGAAAATTAAACTTATAATATATGTTGGGTTTTTTTAATAAAAATAATATTTTAATAAATATTTTCTTTGACCAATTTATGAGGTCATTTGGACCAACATTTTGAAACCTACAAAGATTTTATTTTGCCTCATAAAACATCCATAATTTCCTTTAATTCTATATTAAATATAGGTTTTATGATGACCTTATTTTACACTATAAAATGGTGGCTTTGTGGCTTGAAAAAAATGGATGAGAGAATATAAAGAGTGAAAGAAAAATGTCTTTCAAAAGATCATATATTATATACATATATTGAGCTCTTGTTGTGTGTCGGGTGTAAGCTTCTGCTTCACTTGAACGTGCAATTTCGGTGAAGTTACAACGGAGAGATAGGCTGGGCTGTTGTATCCCATAGACGACACAATCGGAACCTTTTTGCACCTCATTAGAGAAGGGGTCGTGAAATTCGTCTTAAGAGAGCGACCTAGTCCGCGCCTCACCTTGCCTATCTCCATATTATCGTGGTTTTTATTGCAGCAACTTGTTACCTATAAAATTAGAGAATAAATGGAGTCCAAGCCTCATCCACAAAGTTTCGTGATCAATCGTCAAATTGCAGCCGTGGTTCCAACAATATAAACATTATTATGAATTTTATATATTAGATGATTTAATTGATTTTTTTTGAATTACGCCGATTTCGATCCGCAAATTTCCTATTTTAGAATATTTTTTGTTTTCACTCCAATTTCCGAAATTCTAATTTTCGATTTCTCCGATTCTTTTGAAACGGAATTGTACTTAGTTTTTCACTTTTGAAATAAAAAATCGATTTTTTTCTCAAAAGTGTTAATTCCGATCTCCACCCCTAGGAGAATCTACCATGAAAAACATTTAATACAAGTACATGATCACATTATGTATAATGGTTCCAAAGAAAGACAAGAGGAATATATATCAACTCAACTCAACTCAACTCAAATCAGAATAAGCAATAAGCAGATCACAAATTGCAAAAGAATCTGATGCTCTTATAATCCCATTAAGTTCAATATATCCATTGACATCTCTCTCTCTCTCTCTCTCTCTCTCTCTCTCTCTCTCTCTCTCTCTCTTATACACACACACACACACACACACACACACACACACACACTTATCACAACTTTATTCTCTTGTGCCAATAAATGCTCCTATAAATCTTCCTTAAAACACTATCAAAGTTTACTCTATACAATACATTCTTAAGTTGTATGTATAGATAGCAAAGAGGTACATTCTCACTTGATCAAAATGAAGCCTCAAAGCATTAGTACCGGAGAGAGCTCTTCAATTAAAGAGTCGAAGCGATGTTTGAGAGAGAAATTCAGACAAGCATATCGGAGCATCTCGGTTTCTAGAGAGATCCAAAGACGAAACAAGAGATGTGGGGCCGAAGATCCCATGAGAACTATAATGTTCTTAGGTTCTTGGAGCCACACTTGATCTACTAATTGTGTATATATATATATATATATATATATATATATATATATATATATATATATATATACAATATTTTTCTTTTTTGTTTCTTATTATAGGTTTTCATGAAGATCATCATATTAAAGATTGATCAATTAAGAATTTCAAAATATGATGTAATAATAAATTTGTCAATTGTGATGTGGTATGAAATTTAATATTGAAATATTTACAATTTATTCAAAATTATACTACAAACTCATTCAAAATTAATACGATGTGAAATAATATTTGAAACTACTGATCTTTGGGAAGATTGAAGTTAGTTCATGTAAAGAAGTCGACTTTTACAAGTACCCTAAGGCAGGCTCGAGCAGGCCCGATTACAATCTTAAGCGGGCCTCGTTTATAGTTGGGCCTTCCCTTACCTTATAACCTACGCGATTTTTTTTTACTTTTTTCGTTTTTTGAAGAAAAAGTTAAGTTTGCAAAAATCCTTATTTCTTTTAACGGTAAATTACGGCCATCCCTGAGGTAATCAAAATCACCTCTCTCAACTATGAATCTTCTTACACGTCCATCTGTATAGTGTCGAATTCAACATAATCTTTTAGATCCCCTGAAATCTTCTCTGGTTTCTTCCCATTTTGTGCAAAAATGCAGTTTTCAATGCACCACAATCTCATATTTACAAGCCAAGAAACACATTTTTATGATCATCTTGTTTCAAAAATGTGGAGCTCAAATGGAATAAAATGGGTACAAACTAGAGAATATGCCACATAATTTAGAAGATTCCACTAAATTTGATACCGCAAAAATGAATGTGTAAGAAGATTAAAAGTTGAGGGGTTGTTATAATTACCGAAACAAGAAGGATTTTTTTGTAATTTGACATTTCATCAGGTAGTTGCCATAATTTACCCAATTATTTATCGGACTTTAAAATATGAATTAGTAATGCACCAATTGTTGGGTAAATATTTAAAGTTAAAATGAGAAGCTAGCTAAAAACGTTATGATAAATTACAACCACCCACGAGGTATGGTTAAATTACGAAAAAAACCCATCTTGTTTGGATAATTACATCTATCCTCAACTATGAATCTTCTTGTTTATCTACCCTTATGGTGTCAAATTCAACATAATCATCTAGATTCCGTGGAATGTGCTTTAGTTTGTACTCGTTTTGTGTAAATTTACAGTTTTTGATGCACCACAATCTGATATATACAAGCCAAAAAACACATCTTATGATCATCTTGCTTCAAAATGTGGAGCTCGAATGGGATAAAACGGATACAAAAAGTGATAATATTCCATATAATCAAGAAGATTCCACTAAATTTGAAACCACAATGGTAGACGTGTAAGAAAATTTATAGTTGATGGGTTGGTGTAATTACCCAAACAAGAGAGGAATTGTTGTAATTTTACCATACCTCAGGGGTGGTTGTAATTTACATTTTTATAGAGGGGCAAACTAGTCATTTAATAAAGCCGATAATATCCAAAAGCTATAAATAAAAATAAAATTCACCGGAAAAGGGGAAAACAGAAAGAGGGAAGAAGAAAAAAGAAAGAGAAAAAATGGTGGCTATTTCACTGTACAAAGGCAACCTCCACAAGGTGCCGGATGTTCCCCGCAGTTGGCCGTGCCCATCTCCGACGATTTCACCCAAGGACTTCAAAAATCTCCTTCGGCGCCGCGCCAGAGCCCTCTCCCGCCTCCACTCCTCCGACGACGACGTAGCCGCGATTTCAAACCCTAATCCCGCCCCTGCCCCTAATTCCATACCAGAACCTGCTAATTCTGCTCCGATTCTCCCGGATAATGCTGTGAGTGATAGCGATGGTGGTGTTATCGCCGATAATCCCTGCTCTGAAGCTGAATTGCTGCCGGCGGGGGATTTGAAGGATGGAGAAGGGGAAAAGGAGGAGGAGGAAGTTAGAGAAGAGGGGAAAATGGCGGATGAGGGAAAAGATTCTGTGAGGAAAATGATGGACAGAACTGATGCTATGGTGGAGGTGGAAAATCCGGTGGTACAGGTACTTTCCTTTGAGATTTTATAACATTTTACGCGGATTCGTAGAACTTTTTCAAATTTTTAAGTGATGTGGAGGATTTGGAATTTTTTCTGATATATCATGTGAATTAATTTGCTGGTTACTGTGTTTGATACGAAGAAACTGAATTTCGTCGTGAAAGTTCAAATTTTAAAATTCATTTATCCTTCACGATTGTGTTTCTTTGCGAAGTTGTTCGTACTTGCAGTTACAAATAATATCTTGTAGTAAATCAGCATTTTTTGATGTGGTAAAGGTAATTGTGCAGAAGATGTTTGGCATTCTGGTTTCCGAATATGAATTCGGGAACAGGGTTGAGAATATGAATGTTCGTCCTCAATGTGGCTAGTTTCGACTAAAGCAAAATAAATTCTGAATGTTTTTATAATATTTGTTTTTTCTACTTCTTTTTCTGACTTTGGGGCTCAGCAGATTGAATTATGAGTGTAACTAGCTATAAGTTTAAGCTAATGATGGTTTGATTATGATAACAAGGAGAATCCACTAAGCAATATGTATAGCAAACTAATATGAAGCTTCTATATGAGTTTCTCCATTTCTTTCTGTAATTGAATTTGCTTATCGAATTGCAGTTGTGTATATTGCCTTTTTTTCTAACTCGTCTACATTTCCCCTTCACGTGGTAATCTGTTAGTCGTGGTTGTCCTTGCCTTTTTTATACCTAACGAGTTCTACATTGAATTGAACCTATATATTTGTGTCTGCCATTTAGCATCCTTGGAAGTTGGGAGTATCGTCTTACTCTAAATATTTTTATCGAGATATTGAGGCTTGACATGTTTGTATATGTCGGTACTATTTTTTCAATTTTATTGTTCAAAAGTAAGTAGTTTTATCCCGCCTTTGCTACATTACATCCGTTGTCATCACCTGCTGCTTTCTTGATTTGTGATAAAAATTATTTTGCTTTCTCTTACTTCCGGTGAGAAAACCAACAAAATTCAATGTATGGTATAATGTGGTCTGCAAACACCATGCATTTATCTAGAACACTGTCTGCAAACATGTTAGCATGAAAAGAACTGCAACAATAAAAATAAACAAGATTTAATTGCTGTTTTGCTGGTTAGCTTTATTTGTAAATGTTCCTCTGTTGGAAGTGCAAGCTCAACTTTTTCAATTTTCTGGTGGGTTTCTCGAACCCTTTTGTATCATAAATTGTATTAAGGAATCTGATGTAGAATACAATATAGTTGCAAATGCTAACACGAGTTAGAATACAAGGATCTTAATACCGATGTCTTTCTATTTTTCTTCTCAACTCTCCACTGATTTCTTATACGTTTGTTTTTCTTTCTTGGCAGAAGAGCAACGAAGAAAATTCTTCAAGTGAAGTGGAGAAGAGGAAAAAGGAGGTTCAGGAGAAGTTGGAAACTTTGAACGATAAAAAACATGGTTTAGTACAAGTACTGAAACAGGTATCATTTTGGATCTTTTCTAGAGTAGAGACTTTCGGATGCTTCTTCAAAGTTTAGCCCAAAAATTAACTCTCTCGATTCTTGAATGAACGGTCATATTAAAGTCGTACATAAATCTTGACAGATATTGAAAGCAGAAGAGCAGTTAAAGAGACAAAATAGCACGCAAGGGATATCTGGCCGCCCCCCTCTTCCACTACAAGTTGATACCACAAATGATTCTGGTTCGATGACTAGGATTAACACTCCTAGGGTGGGGTCCGATGGAAATCCTTCCGGTGAAACGGAGGGAGGAGGAGAAGCCGATGACGTGTCAAATCATAATATGCATTCTCGTAATTTGCCACGTATGAGCAGTACTTCACCATCTTCCGACTCTCAACAACGAAAGCCAGCCTCTAATATGGTAAAAAAAAAATAATATTCCGTTTTCTTTTGAAAGTTAAGAACATATCAAAAACTAAAAGGCACAAATAGTTACACGTAGGATCTTTTAAGTAGACTATACAAGTAAATCCGTATCTTTTTTTAGTTATAATTAGTAATTCGATTTGATTTTTGTGAACAATTCATAGAAAAAAAGAAAATAAGCACTTAATTTAAAGAAATCTTCAATGTGGCGAATGAAATGATGAGAGTTTAGTCATGGTGCCAAAACTTTGACAATTTTTAATGATAAGTGCAAATTATCATCTATTAATTCTTCAGACCACTGTGACGTCCATTTTATTGGATCGATATTCCACGATAATTCCTCTATTTGATGTAGTGTTGTGAAATGTGGACTATTAATTTTGAATTCATGGTTTGGTTTGGAAACAAAAAAAAAAAACGTCTAACTTTGAACTCTTTGATGGTGGTACTAGGTACCTCACTCTTATCGAACAACATTGGGAGTTGTAGGTAGTCCATCACGTTTTGCGCCAGCTGGACAAGGCCACTCTGTTACAGTATCGGGAGCAAGTTTTATAGGATCTTCTCCTTCTCCAGCAGCATCAGGCGGCACTTCCGTCTTTAGAGATAGCAGGCTCCCAAGTCCTTGGAACTAGTTCCGGAAGTTTCTAGAAGCTGCTCATATGCATAGTTAGAAAAGGGATTTAGGTTTTTACATCGATTAAGTTGATTTGTTATTGTTTCGCGACCGCATGCGTGAAATGTATCGTATTGTATGATGTGGAAGTACTTATCATGATCAATCATCAACTTACTAATTTGTAAATAGCTTTGTCTTTCCTTTTTTCTTTTTTTCTTTTTTTTTTTTTTGAATAATTATCGGTTTTAAATTTGGGGACACATTAGCTGTTTTTTGATTTGTTGTAGTTATATGGTGGTTGAGACTCTTATTTAAGTCGGTATAATAAATATAGTATGATGTGAGTGAGATGTGACAACGCATGTTCTTCTTAAGTTGGAGATTATTGTATGAATCATGTTTTTTTTTTTTATCTTTTTTTTTTAATTGGGGAATACTAATTCGTGTACCGGATGTTCGGAAATATTAATATTAAGTGATACATTTCATTAATATTATAAACTTTTGGTTGATGTGGTCATTCAATAGCGGATAAGTGAGTATGTTAGCTTGTAATTACGAGTGAAAATTAGAATGATTTCTGAATTCTATCGATTCTTATCTAAAAAAATCCAAATTTGAAATTATTTTTTTTATTCAATTTTTTTTTTGAAACTGAGATTGCAACCCCTTTTTAAATTTCCAAAAAAATCAAAATTTTCCAAAACGATGTCATTTTTGTCCAATTTTCACCCCGACTTATAATAATATATGCTCCTATTTAATCTTGTATTGTAGGATAGATGGACATTATTGTTTTTTTTTTTTGGGTAAATTACAACCACTCTTGAGGTATGGTCATTTACGAAAATCCCTCTATTGTTTGGATAATTACAACCACCTCCTTAATTATAAATCTTCTTACATATTCATCCTTGCGATTTCAAATTTAATGGAATCTTCGAGATTATATGGAATATTATCAGTTTTATACCCGTTTTATCACATTTCGATAGGAGTGAGCAAAAAAACCGAAAAACCGAAAAACCGAACCGAAAAACCGAAAAACCGAGCCGTTTTAAACCGTACCGAATAGCAAACCGCATGTACGGTTTTTTATTTTTGAAATACCGAATTATTCGGTTCGGTATGGTGGGAAGGTAAATAACCGAACCGAAAAACCGAACCGAACCGAAACTATAAAATGACTTCATTTTATATAATATATGTATTATTTTACCATAATATTTATTTTCTATGTTTCAATTACTTGCCTCATTCTAAGCATTTGTTCATAAATTGTGACATTGTATTTTATTTATTTAGTAAGCAAAAATTTACTTGAGTTCATGGTTTTAATAATGTGGTAGATGAAAGTAGGAAAAAAAATGAAGAATAATACATCATCTAAATTACGTTAAGTCCTATGAAATTAAAGATTTTATATTTTCATTGCATTAGTAAGTTGTGAAAGTAATTGTAATTGTATTCTTTTGTTTGTCATACTTGAATATATATTGACACTTGAACCGAAAAATAACCGAAACCGAACCGAAAAAAACCGAAACCGAAAGAAACCGAACCGATAAAAAACCGACATACACGGTTTTTAATTTTACAAAAACCGATATATTCGGTTCGGTTCGGTTTTTGGCTAAAACCGAACCGAACCGACCCATGCACACCCCTACATTTCGAACTCCACATTTTGAAGCAAGATGATCATAATATGTGTTTTTTGACTTGTATATATCAGACTGTGGTGCCTCAGAAACTGTATTTTTACACGAAACGAGTACAAACTAGAGCATATTCCACGAATCTAAATGATTATGTTGAATTTGACACCATAAGGGTGGAGATGTAAGAAAAAATTATAGTTGAGGAGAGTAGATGTAATTATCCAAACAAAGAAATCCGCAACCAACCATAAACGTGTACTACGTAAACTACACTCTCGTATAATAGCTTGCAAATCATATAGAGACGTAAACTATATTAGGCTAACTTGGGATAATTACAGTTTTGGTCCCCCAAGTTTGCATGTTTTTCACTTTTGGTCCCCCATTTACCGCCGTCAACAAAATACACACTAATGTTGTCACATTTTAACACATTTAGTCCCTCCGTCTGTTTGACCGTTAAGTAGTAACGGTCAACGGTTGAATTTGGGGTTTTTCTTTGAGAAAATTGCAATAAGACCCCTGTATTCTTTCAAAATATTATAAAAACCTCTAAAATTTTATTCAACCATAATTTAATCCCTATTTCATCAATTAACCAATTTTAACCAATAACCCCGATTTCTCAAAATTGGGTAATCCGACGTTGACTTTCTTTTTAACTCGGTTGACTCTTTTGTCGATTGATATTTTTTCCCGTTGTTGACCGATGTTGAATGTCGGCTCAACAGCGTTGACATTTTCTTTCTTGATTTTATTTCAATTGTTCAGTTATGGAAAAATATAATTAAAAAAATCAAAAACTGATAATCGGCGAGAAAATAATATCATAAAAATGAAAAAGTCAACGAGTCTCAATGACGGAAAAATTTTAAGACAAAAAAAAAAGAGATAAAAATTAACGGCCGGTGTTAATTAGCCCCAAAAACCGTTGTAATAGAGTGGTTTTCTCATTACAAATTACTCCGCACATGCCTAATTCATCTTCTTCATATTTTTTTGGGAAGAAATTGAGATGCACTGGCGGTTCCACGAAGAAAATTTTGAGGGGAAGAAATTATGGATTTTAGAATTTTTTTAAAATTGTATTTAGGCCCTACAATTTTAGATAAAAACTTTCTTAGAAGTTTGTAATTTTAATATTACGATACTAGATATTACTATAGTATTATTATTGTGTTATAATTGTGTTGATCGGAAAAAAAAGTCAACGGAAAAAGTTCGTAAAAAATCAAGAAAAATAAAAAAAATCAACATTATTAACCGAGAATACAATGTCGGTGAACGGCGTCAAAATCAATTTTAAATAAAATAACTCAATGCCGAAAAAAAAATTACAAAAAAAAAAAAATAATCAACGGCGGTCAAGGGTCAACGGTAATGGTGTAAAAATTGGGGTCGTTTGTCAAAATTGATTAAATGATGAAATTGAAGTTAAATTATGGTTGGGTAAAATTTTAGGGGGTTTTAGAATATTTTAAAAGAATGCAGGGGTCTGAGTGAAATTTTTATCTATGAAAAATCCCAAATTCAGCCCTAATTCAACAGTTGACCGTTACTACTTAACGGTCAAACAGACGGAGGGACTAAATGTGTTAAAATTTGACAACATTAGTGTGTATTTTGTTGACGGCGGTAAATGGGAGACCAAAACTAAAAAACGTGCAAACTTGGGGGACTAAAACTGTAATTATCCCGGCTAACTTTGTATGACAAACTTGACCTAACTACCGTTGTCAAGGAAATTCGAATTTTGGCCAATTAACATAAACACATTTGCTCTAACCATTACGACCCCACATTATTGTTGTATAGTTAAGAACCTAAACTCATTTCCGGTTACATAGTTAAGACCTATATCTTAAATGGGTCAATTATTGAATTTGTTAGACCCGACCCATTTTGTCATCCTAAAATGTAGTTTGATCCTAAAATTTGTCACTTGTTTATTTTAATTTTAAGACACAAAATATTTCACATTGAATTAAGGATTGAAACCCCACTTCCCCACATTGGATCCATTTTTATATTTTATTTTTCTTTAAACATTTGTCGTTAATTAAATAAAAAATTGGGTGATAACAAATAAAATACAAAATAAAATTTTATTGGAGACAGAAAGTCCATGCTTCATACTTGTGTCATTTCAATGTTCTTGTAAAGAAACCAACACTGTGGTCTACCTAATCTTCACACACACACGCACACACATCACACATATACACACAAATATAGACATATAAGATGCGTGTGTATACATATATATGTGTGTGCCACTGATAGCATAAAGAAATGTCACGCTACAAGCCGTAGAATTGACATTTTTTAGAAAAATATTCCTTAAAACTAAAAAGATTCCGAAAAATCACATAATAAGGGGGTCGGTGTAGACGTAGATAAACGTAGAAAATTTTTGATAATTACTAATATATGGGGAGTTTTTCGTAATTTAACCTAAGTTTAGGAGATTTATAATTTACCCTATAATATATCATTTGTGCTTCACCCGTTTTGGGCATGAAATGCATCAAAATTAATCATCTATGACTATTTGTAATACTTAAAGATGGTAGTTTTAGTTCCAATAGTTCAATTGTATATTATTATTTTTTTATTATTATTATTTTATTTTTTTACTAGACATCAAAATTACATCATACTCCCTCCGTTTCATAATATCTGTCGCTTTAGAGAATTTTTCCTGTTTCATATTATCTGTCACTTTAAATTTCCAACACTTCATTAATTACTTAATTTCTACTATACCCTTATTAACTCTTTCCAATACTCTTTTTTTAACTAATTTCTATCTCTTATTAGTTATAAGTCAAGGTCATTTTAGTCTAAATGCATACATTTTCCTAAAATCAAGACACATTTAATAAAATTCTTAATCTTCGTGCAAAGCTAAAAAACGATAGTTAAAACGAAACGGAGGGAGTATATATATATATATTTTAAGAAATATACCCTATATTATATAATTTGTGCTTCGCCCGTTTGAGCATGAAATGCACCAAAATTAATCATCTAGTTGTAATACTTAAAAGATGGTATTTTTAGTTCCAATAGTTCAATTGTATATTATTATTATTATTTTATTTTTTTACCAAACATCAA